AACTATGAACCGTGAGTTAAACGCCTTGTTAATAAAAAAAAAGTATAATACACTTATACATATAACACACGTAACTAAAGATTATCCTTTTTACTATTTCTTGTACAACTGCTACTAATAAAGGCTACTTTTTCCTACCCAATCCTACACTAATGCAGGAACAGTACTATACTATGCTGGAAAAGCTTACTCTTTTGCTACAATTATTCTTTCAAGTATTTCGACTATATTAAAGACTTCTAATTAGCATTATTAATAATTTTACTGTTCTGAAAGCAGGTTACTTAAAAAATACAATGAGATGCCTATAAAAAAAAACAGACGACCAAAAATCTATGGGCGTTTCCTGAGTTTTCTGAGATATTCTGAGTACATGGGTTAAACCCTCAAAGGAAAGGGAGGACTGCTTGGGTTCCATCCTACCCGTTCCGTAATAATTAATAAAACGCTTACTGTTATAATTAAATAGTATTATACTAAAGATCTTCCTCTACTACTACTACTGATGCCATTGCTTATACTTCTGAATCCCTGTTACTATGCTAGGCGTTTGGCGCTTCAAACAAATCTACAATATAAATCTCTGGCAAATTTGCCGTATTTTATATCCCGTAAAGTTGCCGTAGAGGTTATATGCTAAAACTTAGGGTTCTTTACACGCAACTGCTGTTAAAGAATGCCTCAACAGTCTTATAAAATGGCTTTTCAACTGCATCAGAGACCATCTTATACATATTTATGAACAATAATGGTTTAAATTAAATAAATTTTATAAATAAATATTAGAGAAAGAGCGGTAATACCTTAAATAGAAACTTCTGTCTTTAAATTGTCGGTAAACAATACCGACAAGTTCAAGAATAAGACACAAGAGCAACATTTGGGTATCTTCATTGCCAAGAAAGGTACTTATGTGCTGCACATGTGTCTTATTCGTCAGTAACTCCAATCTTCAACAGATGTAAAAAACTGGACAGAGTACTCGACCCATTATGTACCTCTGTAATCTTTTGACTACCGCCCACAGGATGGGTATGGGGCGCATAATAAAATATTAAACTAAAGTAATCGAACGAGACGTCATTCTCTGAGCAGCTGTTGGGGTTAAAGGGCGTGATGCAAACAGACTGAAGCCAAGGACTCATGTAGCAAAACAGCTCTTTGTTTTGACTCCACATCTCTAGGTAGAGCTTGTATCATGATTTGAATGATCTATCCCTAGAGTGAAAAGTCATCCCAGTGAAGGGTTGTTTTGTTGCACGCGTCTCTTTCTTCATTTTGAATCCTAATAGTCGAGCATTCAGTTCTACTTGTGGAATTCATAAGGGAATTCAGACACCTTGTAAACTTGTTGACTCTCTTCTTTTTTCTGGGTGTCCCCGCCCTCTCTAGCTGGGCAGGAAGCTGTACTTCGACCTATAAGGATGCGGATCGCTGTTAGCCTCTTCTTTTTCGGGCTCCACCATACTGTAGCTCCCCCTGTATGGGTGACCCTCAGGTGCATCGTCAGGATATATCTGCGTGTAGGTCTCATCGACGTGCTCCTGTACTGGGCTGCTTGTGTTGCTGTGGTGATGCTGCTCCTCCCTGTTGCTGTTCTGGCTGTCGATGGGGCAGACGCGGCGTTTGCACTGGTTGCTTCCGTCTTGAGCCATAAAGATCATCCATCCCGTAATTGTCACTATTCGCTCAGAACTTTGACGATTCATCCCAAAATGCGTTTATTCGTAGAGATTTAAAAATATTATATAAAAACCCATGATTAATCATTGATTTACAAGGGGCTGGGTTATGGATACAAAGGATCCCTTAAAGCTCATGATTTACAAGGGGCTGGGATTATAATCCCCCCCATATTCCATATTTATAGAATACAGGGGATACTACTGGGATTTTCATGCACTGATAAGGATAAGTTAACAGGAATTTAAGGAAGGGAAGAACGACCTGGTGTCATAAGCAGAAGTTACGTGAAGCTCTTGTTGGAGCCCTGACTGTAACTATCATATTTCTTGTCACTGACAGGCCCCTGACGAACATTTATCCTGACAGAGTCGAGCCGGAGGGAAAGAGATTTAAGAGAGAGAGAGAGAGAGAGAGACATAAGAGTGAGAGACGAGGGAGAAGCTGGAGATGGAAAACAAAACAAGAGCGGGAGTGGAGAAAGTAACTTTTCACTTTGAATTATTGTGTGTGGTGAGGCGAGGGAACTTACTGACCCAGTAATAGTGTAAAAAAAAAAAGACATGCGTTTTGTACAAGGTAATTTCATAAGGAAAACGTTTTGCTCACATGACAAGAATGGAGCTGACGTGACTACCTGTACAGTTATTGTAGACAGACTACCTGTAAGTAGTTTTGGGGGTCATCGCGCCCGCACCTAGATCTCAGGCCAGATGTTATTCTACAGTAATATAAACCATCTTTAACTGTTTCAGCTACATTCAGCACACACACACACACACACACACACACACACACACCTGTGTCTCTGACTTGTATAGTATGCAAAGTCATGGAGAAGATTATCAGGAGAGTGGTGGAACACCTGGAACAGAACAAGATTATAAATGAAAACCAGCATGGGTTCATGGAAGGCAAATCCTGTGTCACAAACCTTCTGGAGTTTTATGACAAGGTAACAGAAGTAAGACACGAGAGAGAGGGGTGGGTTGATTGCATTTTCCTAGACTGCAGGAAGGCCTTTGACACAGTTCCTCACAAGAGATTAGTGCAGAATCTGGAGGATAGGCCGCATATAACAGGGAGGGCACTGCAATGGATGGGGAAATTTACCTGACAGGAGGCAACAAGAGTATGGTACGTGAAGAGGTATCACAGTGGGCGCCTGTGACGAGCGGGGTCCCACAGTGGTCAGTTATAGGACCAGTGCTATTTTTGATATATGCGAACGACATGATGGAAGGTATAGACTCTGTCCCTATTCGCAGATGATGTGAAGCTGTTGAGAAAAAATTTAAATCGGATGGGTGAGGGCAGGACTGCATAGAGACCTGGACAGGCTGGACATGTGGTCCAGAAACTGGCTTCTCGAATTCAACCCTGCCAAATGCAAAGTTCTGAAGATTGGGGAGGGGCAAAGAAGACCGCAGACAGAGTATAGGCTAGGTGGACAAAGACTACAGACCTCACTCAGGGAGAAAGATCTTGGGGTGACCATAACACCGAGCACGTCACCGGAGGCACACATCAACCAAATAACTGCTGCAGCATACGGGCGCCTGGCAAACCTGAGAATAGCGTTCCGATACCTTAATAAGGAATCTTTCAAGACACTGTACACTGTGTATGTTAGGCCCATACTGGAGTATGCAGCACCAGTCTGGAGCCCACAGAGAGAAAGTACAAAGGTTTGCAACAAGGCTAGTTCCAAGCTCAGGGGAATGTTGTACGAGGAAAGGTTGAGGGAAATCGGACTGACAACACTGGAGGACAGAAGGGTCAGGAGAGACATGATAACGACATACAAGATACTGCGGGGAATAGACAAGGTGGACAGAGACAGGATGTTCCAGAGAGGGGACACAGAAACAAGGGGTCACAATTGGAAGCTGAAGACTCAGACGAGTCACAGGGACGTTAGGAAGTATTTCTTCAGTCACAGAGTCGTCAGGAAGTGGAACAGCCTAGCAAGTGACGTAGTGGAGGCAGGAACCATACATAGCTTTAAGACGAGGTATGACAAAGCTCAGGAAGCAGAGAGAGAGAGAGAGAGGACCTAGTAGCGATCAGTGAAGAGGCGGGGCCAGGAGCTGAGTCTCGACCCGTGCGACCACAATTAGGTGAGTACACACACGAGTTAACGGTCCATGGAGGTCCTGTCTGTACTGCCCCCAGCCGTGTTCCCAATAAAGGATAGCTGGCCAGCCAGCCAGGTAGCTGGCCAGCCATTCAGGAAACTAGCCATTCAGCTAGTTAGGTGACCATCCAGCTAGTTAGCTGGCCAGCCAGCCAGGTAACCGGCCAGCCAGACATCTGGTCAGCTAAATCTAAATCACTGAACACGTTAGTCCCCAGAACAATACACCGGACGTATGGGTAATACATTTAAATAACAGTAAGATAAGATAAGGTATGATTTCGTTCGGATTTTTAACCCCGGAGGGTTAGCCACCCAGGATAACCCAAGAAAGTCAGTGCGTCATCAAGGACTGTCTAACTTATTTCCATTGGGGTTCTCAATCTTGTCCCCCAGGATGCAACCCACACTAGCCGACTAACACCCAGGTACCTATTTGCTGCTAGGTGAACAGGACAACAAGTGTAAGGAAACGTGTCGAAATGTTTCCACCCCCCGGGAATCAAACCCTGGCCCTCCGTGTGTGAAGCGGGAGCTTTAGCCACCAGGCCACCGGGCCACCAGCAACAACAGCACAGCAACAACAGCACAGCAACAACAGCACAGCAACAACAGCACAGCAACAACAGCACAGAAATAACAGTGCAGAAATAAGTGCATAAATAATAGTACCTAAGTAACAGTACAGATATAACAATACAGAAGTAACAGTACAGAAGTAACAGTGCAGAAATAATAACATAAATAAGAGTATAGAAATAACTACGGAAATAACAGTACAGAAATAACAATACAGAAATTACAGTATAAATATAACAATACAGAAATAACTACAGAACTAACAATAGAAATAATATTACAGAAATAACGGTACAGAAGTAACAGTACAGAAATAACTAAGAAATAACAGTATATAAGTAATAGTACAGAAATAATCACAAAAATAAGAGTACAGAAATAATTACAGAGGTAACACTACAGAAATAGCTACAGAAATAAGAGTACAGAAATAAGGTGTTATTTCTGTACTGTTGAATGTAAGTTACTCGAATGTACGTCTTTATAGGTTTATGTAACTTACACTAACCTTAATTAGCTTAAGCTAATTATACAACAGCGTTCAAGGAAAACTTGAAAATGTTAGTAAGCTGACCGTGAACAAATCTATTTCAGCTGCAACTTACTGTTCTAAAGTGACGTATTCGTATCCATCCACATTCTGTGTTTTCTTGTTGTCTTGACGTCTGTGAGGACGAGGATGGTGTTTGTTGGGGGCGTAGGACTGGGGGAGGTTGTTTTGGAAGGTGGGTGTGTGTGTGTTGTGGTAGGCAGGGGGTGCCTTGCCTGGGGAGCCAGAGACCTGGGTGTTGCCACTGTGGTAGGACACGACCTGGGGGTCAACGTTGCTGCCACTCACGCTGGGGTCGTACCCGTAGTAGTGCTGTAGGGGGAGATAGCGAGTCGTTAACGTGCGTTAGTGAATTATGGAAAAAAAGCACGATAACGAGGCTGGAATAATTCACAACCATCCACAATTTGGAGGTCAATAGTAATAGACGTTTCCGTGGGTCCTAGACTCAGGCCAGGCCAGGACCCGTCCTGGTAACTCTACATGAACATGGTCCTGGATCAATACAAAGTCACATCTTGATAATGGTCCAGGAGGAACCGAAACCTATTGTTTACATCTCAGATTTGTGGACTAGTTTTAAACGGAAATGATTAAGGAACAAAATTTACAGTGAATCACATTTTCCCAGAAAATTAAATGAGATAAATTTGTCAAGATAATAGTCATTACTTGCTAGTAATTAACGCCGTTAATGAACTATCTTACCAGAGATTAAAAATCATAAGTGACCTTTAATCACCCAATCTAATTAACGTACTTATCAATGATTATTATAAACGAATGAAATCTTAGCTACTCTGTCATTCGCTGAAGTTAATTAATGAATAATGAACCATGGGTGGGTACTATGAATAACCTTGCCCAGCACTCACCTCGTCTCCGCCAGGGTACGCCTCGGCAGGGTATTCGTCGTTGTACCCTTGGTAGTAGTTGTCTGCCCAAGCCTCGGCTGTGGGGTCTGGAGAACTCCACCAGTTGAGTAAGTTGCTCCAGCTGGGTATGCCTGCCCAGCCACTGGTCCCTGTCCGCCTAAGGGGCACGAAATACAAGATTATTGATTTTTCTCTACCAGGTAGAGCATTTTTACTCAAGAGTAGTAAGGTTAGCAGCAGTACCACTAGTAGTAGTAATAATGGAAGTAGTAATAATGGTAGTAGTAGTAGTAGTAGTAGTAGTAGTAGTACTGGTCGTAGTAGCACATCCATGAATGAGTTAGTTTAATATCTTTATTATGCACCCCATACCCATCCTGTGGGAGGTAGTCAAAAGATTACAAAGGTACATAATGGGTCCAGGGACTGGACCCCAAAGTTATGATAGCTGAACTAGTTACAAAGGTAATGAACTCCAGGTAGATCTGGTCACAATCATGACAAGTTACAACAAAGGTAATGAATCAGCCTCACTCCTATACATGGTTACAGTCATGAACAAATTACAAAGTAATGAACCACTGATACGTCCACACCTGGTCACAATTGTAATGAGTTATAAATACAAATATTAAGTGGGTCATACACCCACACGAGCGCGCGCGCACACACATACACACACGAGGGCGCACGCACACACACATGCACACGAGCGTACAAATATATGCATACACACAAACACGCACACCCACACACACACACACACACACACATACACCATACACGTGACCAGCGGGGTCCCGCAGGGGTCAGTCCTAGGACCAGTGCTGTTTCTGGTATTTGTGAACGACATGACGGAAGGAATAGACTCTGAGGTGTCCCTGTTTGCAGATGACGTGAAGTTGATGAGAAGAATTCACTCGATCGAAGACCAGGCAGAACTACAAAGGGATCTGGACAGGCTGCAGACCTGGTCCAGCAATTGGCTCCTGGAGTTCAATCCCACCAAGTGCAAAGTCATGAAGATTGGGGAAGGAAAAAGAAGGCCGCAGACGGAGTACAGTCTAGGGGGTCAGGACTACAAACCTCATCAAGGAAAAAGTCTTGGGTGAGTATAACACCAGGCACATCTCCTGAAGCGCAATCAAAAAAAATAACTGCTGCAGATATGGGCGCCTAGCAAACCTCAGAACAGCATTCCGACATCTTAATAAGGAAAACATTCAGGACCCTGTACACCCTGTACGTTAGGCCCATATTGGAGTATGCGGCACCCGTTTGGAACCCACACCTAGCCAAGCACGTGAAGAAACTAGGGGAAAGTGCAAAGGTTTGCAACAAGAACTAGTCCCCGAGCTAAGAGGTATGTCTACGAGGAGAGGTTAAGGGAAAACAACCTGACGACACTGGAGGACAGGAGAAAATAGGGGGGACATGATAACGACATACAAAATACTGAGAGGAATTGACAAGGTGGACAAAGACAGGATGTTCCAGAGATTGGACACAGTAACAAGGGGACACAGTTGGAAACTGAAGCACAGATGAATCACAGGGATTTAGGAAGTATTTCTTCAGCCCCAGAGTAGTCAGTAAGTGGAATAGTTTGGGAAGCGATGTAGTGGAGGCAGGATCCATACATAGCTTTAAGCAGAGGTATGATAAAGCTCACGGTCAGGGAGAGTGACCTAGTACGATCAGTGAAGGGGGCGGGGCCCGGAGCTCGGACTCGACCCCCGCAACCTCAACTAGGTGAGTACAATAGGTGAGTAACACACACACCCCACGTATCATATACAACAGGCCTAGTGTCTAATCGACAAGTTTCCTAGGACAAAATGGTAACTAACACACACACACACGCACGCACCCCCCACCCCCCACCCCACACACACCACACACACACACAACACACACACACACACACACACACATGGTAATGCATTATTTTACAGTATCAAAGTCAGGGTTTTCTCCAGAATGGTCTGTAATATACCCTGTGGATAAAAAACTTTCCATTTTTTGAACATTTCTGAGTGAGTTGTTTCTAAATTCATTAATTTGGTCACAAATCCAGTTTCATTTAATGATGCAAGGTGTGACAATAGTCCATCTGGCAAAGTTTACATTTCGTTTGGTTTACATCTGGTGGTGGTGATTTAACCTGCCATAGATACTTGTAACCCAGCCGGAGCCGGGCGGTAGTGACATCCAAGAGTCTGCTTATCTTGTTGGATGCACCATAGACATGTGGCTCCTCCTGCATGATGGAATGATGATAGATGGACTGACTTGTGTCAGTCTCCCTAAGTCTTAAGTCAATAAAGTTCATTTGAAGTTCTTTTCGTATTGTTGTTCTCAGACTGCTAACTGACAACCCAAGATTTGGAAGCATACAGTTTAGCCAATTTATCAGTTCTATCATGCATCTGAAGACCAATTGAGATGGAATCCACAGCATGTGCACTCTGACTCCACTGTCCACAATCCTCCTTACCTGTGTCTGGCTTCTGACACAAGCATGCCACAATTTATACTTAATGAGTTGAGAGCATTTATAGATGACAGAGAATCAGTTACAATTAAAGTGTCAACCTTAGATACATGGAAGCATTTGAGTGCAAGGAGTATGGCAAACAGTTCTGTTTGAAGGGTAGAGGCCCGTTATTGATGCGTGGTCCCAAATTTTTTTTATGAGAAACTCACTTGTGTGACAACAGCAAACATACCAGCTGCACCAGTGGACTGGTGAACAGAACCATCAACGTAAATAATTTGTGAAAGAGTGTTCTGTGTGACTAAGTTATCAATACAGCTTAAGGCATCATGTTTGGCTTCAAGACGAAGCTTTGGTTGTGATTTAAGAAGAGTTTTGGGGGGAAATGGAGGAATGGCAGTTTGGAATGGGGTAATATCCCATGGAGCAGGGAAATGTCTCTGTTGTCTAACTTAACATAGATCACGTAGTGGTTCATGCGGAGGTCGGTTCCATTTTTTCGATCCATCTGGAAGGATGTTCACCAGTGCTGAGGAAAGTTTGGAGGGTTTCTGTGCAGGGGTTTGAGTGGGTTAACCTAAGCATATTGACCCCAATAGGATATTTCTTTCAGTAACACGATCTCTAATGCTTGGAATATTAAGTTCTTTCCGCATATTTAAAATTTTTTGGGGTACGAGGGCATCCTAGGATGATCCTCATTGCTTCGTTTTGCAGTTTTTCCAGCCCTCCAAGCTTCCAGTCAGACACGTGTGCAAGTAGTGGCGCAGCATAATCAACCAATGATCTAATATAAGCAAGATACATCATTTTCACAATTTAACATTAGCACCATACCTGGGATGAAAACCAGCCACAAAATCTAAGTGCTCTCAGCCCTTTTTTTGTATTGGCGACAAAGTCTCATTACAACAGGTCCAAGTAGTGGAACCTCAAAGCCTAGATACCTGTATCTGCTTACATATTCTAGAAGAGATCCATCATGCAACTGGATCTGACGAACTGTGCCTCTCTGCCGAGGAGGACGCCTGTTGAGTATCTTTGTTTTATCCCATGAGATTATTAACCCCAGGTCTTGACACGAGGCTAGTACATGATTAAGAATGTTTTGGGTGTTGGAGAATCCGGTGGTGTGAATCATTATATCAGCAAAACTAACCATATAATGATGGGGCTGGCTACATGGAGGTTACCTGGAGGTTATTCCGGGGATCAACGCCCCCGCGGCCCGGTCCATGACCAGGCCTCCCGATGGATCAGGGCCTGATCACCTAGGCTGTTACTGCTGGCCGCACGCAGTCCAACGTACGAGCCACAGCCCGGCTGTTCCGGCATGATTTAGATTTGTCCCGCTCTCTCTTGAAGGCAGCCAGGGGTTTATTGGCAATTCCCCTAATGCTTGATGGGAAGCTGTTGAACAGTTTTGGGCCCCGGACACTTATGGTGTTTTCCCTTAGTGTACCAATGGCTCCCCTACTTTTTATTTGGGGGGCATTTTGCATCGCCTGCCCTGTCTTTTACTTTCGTAGGGAGTGATTTCTGTGTGCAGATTTGGGACCATTCCTTCCAGGATTTTCCAAGTGTAGATTTTGATATATCTCTCCCTCCTGCGTTCCAACGAGTACAAGTCAAGTGCTTCCAAGCGTTCCCAGTAGTTAAGGTGCTTGACAGAACTTATACGTGCAGTAAGGATCTCTGTACACTTCTAGATCTGCGATTTCACTGCTTTGAATGGAGATGTTAATTACAGCAGTTTTTCCAGCCTAGAGAGAACAAGTGATTTGAAAAAGGGTCATCATTGGGTTGGCGTCTCTCGTTTTGAACGTTCTCATTATCCATCCCATCATTTTCTTTGCACGTGCAATCGTGGCACTGTTGTTTATCCTTGAAAGTGAGATCCTCAGACATTACTACTCCCAGGTCCTTTACATTATTTTTCCCCCTCTATTGTTGGCCAGAGTCTGTAGTATACTCTGTTCTAGTTTTTTATCTCCTCCAGTTTTCCCTTTTCGGAGTTTGTTGGAATTTGTCCTCATTGAACATCATATTGTATACCGTTGCCCACTGGAAAACTTTGTTTATATCTTCTTGGAGGTTAACCGCGTCCTCAGCAGATGACAGCCTCATGCAGATCCTAGTATCATCCGCAAATAATGATACGGTGCTGTGATGTATACCTCTGTCTATGCCTAATATGAGGATGAGGAATAAGATGGGGCGAGTGCTGTGCCTTGTGGAACAGAGCTCTTCACTATGGCAGCCTCCGATTTAACTCTGTTGACTCTGTTGGCTAGGCATGGCATTAAGTAAGACATTAATCAGAATATTGAAAAGGGTGGGACTAAGCACACCTCCCTGTGGGGTTCCTAATTCAAAATCTTTAGTTACACTTCTATGTCCTTGGAACAACACAGACGACTTTCTGTTGGACATGTAACCTTTAATCCAGCGGAGAAGCCATCCTCCAACATCCATTCTGGCAAGTTCACTAATGATTACATGTCGGTTGGCTACATCAAAAGCGGATTTCAGGTCAAGGAACGTAGTGTATGAGCTGTCAGTGTGCAGAGTGAGACAGGTGGTTATGCAATGATGCCCCACTCCTTCCAAAGCATGAAGCCATGCAACCGGGGGGACAAGAATTGCTTAATTCTGTGCAAAAGAGTGATTAAGAATCATCCTTTTTGAATGTTTTACACAAGCAGCTAATAAGGGATATTGGGCGAAATGAGTTTTGTTGATTGGGCTTCGGAATGGGAATAATGAGGCTGTTGGTCCATGATTTAGGGACCTCCCCAGTGACATAGCTCATGCTATATAATTCAAGTAAAGGATTACCTGGTACTCGACACAGCAATCTGAGTATGTTGTAAGTGATACCATCCTCACCAGGCGACGTGGAGTTGCCCTTAGTTAGTGCTGCATCAAGTTCATAATTAGTGAATGTTGCAGTCATCTGCCTTGCTGAGCATAAAGCAAACAAGTCTCTTCCTTGCATCATATTTGTCCATTAATTTCGCCTATGTGATACTAGGAAGATTGTCATAGCTAGACGTAGCAGCCCAAGCACTGACTTACTCATTCGCCCTATGCAAGGGATGAAGGTGCGCGATTTACCCAGTTCTGTTACCCTTAATTCTATTTATGTCCCTCCATGCCCGGCTAAGTGGGGTGTGAGCATTGAGACCATTGACAAATTGTTCCCAGTCTGTTTGCCGCAGCTCTGTCATACGCTCTCTGGCAGCAGCAAGGGCAGTTTGGAAGAGGCTCAGCATTTCAGGGGTACGATGGTTTCTATAGGCTGGGCCTAGCCTGCGAGCAGTACGTTTCAGTGTTCGAAGTTTAGAATCATTGTAATAGGTATGGTTTTTATAAGATTAATGATTATTATGGAAGTTAATTTGGATTTAGAGTAGTAGGAGGTTTCAGAGGCGGCTCTAAGAAGTTCTGAATACTGCTCACAAGGTCATTGTTAAAAGTCTCGACAGAGGTACACTCATAGGAATAATACGTCAGTCACATGTGCAACAAAGTCATCATGCAGATCAGGGGGAACATTAAAACTTTTCCGTTTGAATATCCCACCAGGAAGGATAGTATCATGAATATTTAGGGAGGTTAGCCTTGGGAAATGATCTGATGATATATCTGTTACAATGGAAGACTCACAGCTGGCAGAAGTAATGTTGAAGCCCAGGCACAGATCAAGGACGCCTCCATAGATATGTGTGGGTTCAAGGTCACCTACAATATGCACATTATCATGACTGTTTAAGAGTGACAACAGTTGATTACCATTACCATTACCAAACTGAGAGTTTCCAATGCTTTTGTGTCTTGCATTATAATCACCAATAATAAGAGTAGGCTCAGACTGAGCACAAGTTGAAACCTGAGTCCTTTCGGGTGTGCGATCAGTGCTCTCTCACTGACCAACGTGCTGTTCTCTTTTTTTCATTCCTCATCCTAATTTCCTCCTCTCCCTCCATCACCCTCTCCTCCTATTAAGACCACGAAAAGTTTGCATTGAACTAACAGGTAACAAAGTTTACTAGAAACGAAAATACACTTGATTTGATCTTTACGAATAATGAGAAAGAAATCAGAGCTATAATAATGTCAACTGCAGTGTAATCCAGTCACAACATCACTGAAATACAAACATATATGTCATCGTAAAGAATCTAAGAAACGGCCATAATGAAGGGTTGTTCAGTAATTCCACTGCAACCTTCAGAGAAGGAAACGAGAGAAAAATAAACACCAAACCTAACCTAACCTTTAACCAAAACAAATGCATGGAAAGTGTGACTACAGAGTCATATAAGGTTTGCATTAAAATATATTCCGCTGAGAAAGCCTGCAAGATTAGATAGAGAAAATGAGCAAAGAAAAATGTGTAGCAGATAAGAGTTACTGAATTGCTTAAAAACGAGTCAGCATCACAATAATGGTAAGATAATCTATAACGAGAAATTACAGATATACAGTAAAAGAGAAACTAAAATTTATACCAGACAGAAGAAGCACATAGAAGAAGCATTAAGTTATGAAATATGGAAAGAAGCTTAGTTATTCACTTACGAAAAACTTAAGTAAAAAACATCTCACAGTCATGTGTGTGTGCCTGTAGTCAGCTTTCTGTGACAGATATGTAGATCACTCACCACTTTCTTTGCTGGTGGCTCCCAGCCCCAGTACTGGACTACTCTGGTGTGTTCTTTTCTTTACTATCTCATAAACATAAACCATACCACAGGCGGAGACAGAACCCACGATCAGAGAGTCGCGGGTTCTATTCCCACCCGTGGTATGGTTTGTTTGCAATCGTGTCATTACGATTTGGTAAGTTAAATACACAAACTTTTACGTCTTAAATAGAAAGTGATATAAAAAAAAAAACATTTTTATTCCCCGAGAATACAGTGTGGAGACAGAAATTGTCATATGAGCGACACAGTTTGCAGAACAAGCTTTTATTGGGTCTACATTTAGCATCAAGTCAAGCTTGTTATACCGTGTTGTGTCTATGCTAAGATCCGTCAATTTCAACGCTGCTGCACCAAAACAGAAGCCCATTAAACGTTTCCATCTCTGGTAGGATTGCTGGTCTTTTCTTTTCGCCTCAGGAACAGGATGGCAGGTAAATCTTACACACGTGATCATTTCTATTTCTTAATAATTCTTTATATTTTTTATTATATATCCCAGAAAGAGAACCTTCAAATGGTTGCCTGAAATTTTTCCCTTTTCTTCCTCCTGCTTTTCGATTTCATTTTCTCATAACTTCAGAACTCTTCATCCAATCGGATTCAAATTTTGAACGCTCATGTATGGAAACAAGGACCAGATTCTAGGAACAACTGGCATGTGTAGGTACCCTATGACCAGAGTTATTGAGCTCATTCCCAGGTATACAAATGAAAGTGCACATATTGCAGAAATTCATACACAGAGACGTATACTCAAGTATACAAATTGTTTAATTTGGCTGCATCGAAATTTTATGACCATCCTCCACTTTCTTTTCTTGGATTGCACGACGATCGAAATAAATCTAGTTTATTATTATTATTATTATTATTATTATTATTATTATTATTATTATTATTATTATTATTATTATTATTATTATTACGAGAACAGATACTGGTAATGGTGTGTGACGGACACGGGAAAATCCTGGTGGGTCTTGAACTCTTCCTGGCTCGGAGTCACTGAAGGATGGAGGGTTACTGAGCAATCAGACCTATATAACACACTTACCTCTCGGATTGCTCTCTCCATCCTTCCCTCTCTCTATTCCCACTACCCCAGTCAGGCAGATCAGCGTCATGGTAATTCCCAAGTAATAGTGACTCCAGACCTACTGGAACTAACTCTTTAAAGCCACCGCAACTACTGAACCCATTGTGGAATGCTTGATGATGTCCCTATCCGCCTATCAAAGTCTCCCAGTTTAGAGGGTCAGAATTCATTACCGCATGCACGAAACCCATCCTGTGAGGTGAACATGACAGGAAAACATACCTAGCTTTTGACTAAGACCCGCGTCAGGAAACACTTGTCTTGTTTCCTGACGAACCTTACCTAGCCTAACCTAGCTTTTGCCTCACACTTTAACTATCATATAAAATAGGCTAGCTGCACACTGCGGGTGCTTTCACAATACAGTTTTCATACAATACAGAGCAGCAGCACATTAATGATGCAACAAATTTTGCATTAAAAGCGTCGACGTCATTAAGATGCTGCGGTAAACAATGCTTCAGAGCCACGGGTAACAAAACTCGCTGCTCCTGCGGTGTAAACATTACAAGTGTCAGCAGATCAGTGGTTCACGAACGGATGCGAGACGTATGGATAAATTTCCTCGCACTTGCTACCTCTGTTCACCTTCACATACAAGTGAATAGGTACCAAAAACTTAGTCCACTGTTGTATGTCGAATCTTTGGAAGGACCGTAAGGACGTGAACGTCAACGTAAGAGAGGACCTCTGCTGCAGACCTACTGGTCTATGCCAGACAAGTCCTTCAAATTAGTTTTATTGCTTAACTTTCCTGGCTTATCCAAGGTTAATAATCCAAAAATGAATGGGCCACGACTCACCTGAGGATGATGGGGGCCACGGGGACAGCGAGAATGGCCCCTAGGGCCACTAGGGCCATGGCCCCAGCACCAGCATACTGCGCGAGGCTGTCGGTCTCGATGGAATACTCGGAGATATCTGGCAACAGGTCCACAAACTTGCTTCCAGTACCAAGGTTGCCAAACTGGAAGGAAGTAGGAAAACAGTGTTAGAGGTTTTGCATCACGTTTACTTGAGCTACGTGATGTTAGCAGCCATGATTTAAGAGTACAACTAAAGGGTGAAATAGGTGGTTTTAGTAGCCATGATTTAAGAGTACAACTAAAGGGTTGAATAGGTGGTTTTAGTAGCCATGATTTAAGAGTACAACTAAGGGGTGAAATAGGTGGTTTTAGTAGCCATGATTTAAGAGTGGTTTTAGTAGCCATGATTTAAGAGTACAACTAAGGGGTGAAATAGGTGGTTTTAGTAGCCATGATTTAAGAGTACAACTAAGGGTTGAATAGGTGGTTTTAGTAGCCATGATTTAAGAGTACAACTAAGGGGTGAAATGGTGGTGTTAACAGTCATGATTTAAGAGTACAACTAAGGGGTGAAATTGGTGGTGTTAGTGCAGATATTTAAGCAGTAATTATTACATTACATTTAATTTGCAAGACAAATCCATGTAGTTCATTGAGAACAAGGAGTCGTGGAAGCTCGACCCTACGTTCTTTAATCGCGAAACAGGCACGCTAGTAGCAGACTGATGATACTAGTAGTTAATATTAAGGCTTTTAATTAATCGATAACAGCTTTAATAAAAAAGAGAAGCAGCTTTATTACCACATGATCAAGTGTTCCTTGATGAGTTGCAGCTTAATAATAGTCCAAGAGGCAGATCTGGTATTAATACAGTCATTATTATGAACTATGTAATGTAAGCCGGAAGTGGCATTATTAAAGTTGGGCAGTCTTGTGTGGTAGAGTGTTGAGGGATGCTCAAGGTAGGTGTTTAAGGGGGGAACGTGTATTTAATAGGTAAATGTGGTGTACGGGGGTTGGGTTCGATGGTTTATAGGAACCCGTGTATTTTAAGACTGTAAGGGTCAATATATATATAAGAAATGTTGGCTCAGGTGTTGGAATCCTTGTTTGCATGGTAATTATTTTCTTTGAATTTTGATATTTGATATATCAGTTTGTCATCTTGTTTCATGTATTGTACAATATGTACCTCAACATATATGATAGAGGTCCGGCTATCTGCTTATATAACATTTACCATGGTGGGGGAAATAAGGGTTTATAATTTATTAATGCAGGTCTCTAGTATATTTTTTTGTGGTAGAAGGACCTGTTGGACCATAGAGCTATTATCTATTTATATTTTACTTTTGTATGTTGTACGGCCTAGGTCGTTCGAAGTGTATATTGTAACAGTTGGAATGTTGATTACTTAATATGATGCACTGTGTTTTATGTTTTATAGTTTGGTTATCTGTTTGTTAAGCCTTGATGTTTTTCTATATATTTAATTTTTATGTTCTAATATTACGTTTTAAATAAAATATAAAGAAAAAAATATAGTCCAAGATGGGCCGAAACATCGTCAAGTATTTCCAACTTGTGGATTAGTTATGAATTGTTACTGCTACAGCACTGTGACTTGTATTGTTCCTGTCCGTTCCTCCCTCTCAAACTCTCCGTTTTACCTGATCACCCAAAGAACAAGTTATATATACGCCGAAAGGTGTATGTCTTTCAGCGTATATTCGCTAAGAATATACTTTAATCCCTATTATAGGGATTAATGTATTTTTGACTGGTGGCGAACAAGTGACATGCAGCCTAAATGACCCTCGTGTGGTTGATAATCTTTAAACCCGGTCAACCAACCTTTAAAGAAATAATTGTCTGCTTGTGTGTCCTCTTTGTAATGGGTAAATATGTCATTTGTATTCCTCTAATATCTTTATAAGATAATAATTATTGCCACTGTAGTCTTAAGCTTGCACGAAATGCTCTGCATAACTATGCAGAGCATTTCTGCATGCACAACCAAATGTCACCCACCTCTGTGCAAATATTGTATCATGTGGAAATAAATATTTGACTGACTTTACTTGATCACCTGGCATAACCTCTAGCAGTCGAAGCACTTAAAATGGAAGAAGAACTGCGTCTCACCTGTTCAGGGGAGGCGGGCAAGAAAGCTTCTTGCCCGACGTGTGAGGCGTTGGATGACTGGTTCTCCTCTGTCGTGGTGGCTGGGTTTAACTCATCACCTCCTCCACTGCCTTCGTCTTGCTTCTCCAAAGTCGTGTTAATCGCTGCCGTGGCCTGCGAGCGGCTCTTCATGGCGTTAGTGATGAGGTTGACCAAGTTTGAGGCGACGGGAGTGTTGAAGAACGAAGAGACATGGAAGCGATTCTTGGGCGTGGAGGCTTGCGCGGGATGGTTCTCCATGTTGCGCTCTTTCTCCACCACTCCACTAAAACTGCTGTTAGTATCAGAGCGGTGTTTCTGCTACTCTCAATACCAGTTGTGGTACTGCTGTTGAGGCTGTTAATGTAAACTGTGGTGCTGTTGCTGCTGCTACTGCTGTCCCCATGACACAACGATGATGTCACCGCCACACAAATCAACACTGAAAGAAAAATGAGAGAATTAGAAAAAAAACGATAATTACTATGTACACTCCAAAGACAAGTCAATAAACGGTGGTATAAATGAAGCCATTATTATATTTATGGCTAAGCGCTAAATTCACAGGGGGTCATCTGGGAGGCAATCAGATTTGATCCAAGAGCAAAATAGCTTCAATTCCTTGGACAGAGAACTCTTCACCAGTACGAAGACAAGAAGGGTGAGTAATGACAACCAAATGGAGGTACGTAATTGCAGAAATTATGGAATATTTAAGAACACCTGGACGTTTAACTCTGCCCAACACAGAAAGCCTAACGAACATTAAAAATTTTTAATGCTTCATAAAGGCTGTCATTGTCTGCCCTGAGAAGCAATACCTTCACCAAAATTATTACTGTTTTTACTGCTTTACTGAGTTCCAGAAACTACAGAAAAGACCAGAAAGGTTGACGGCAGACACAAGGTTGAGGGGAGGCTGGTTGGGGTTGGAGGGGAGGTGACACTTAACCGGGAAACAACAACAATTATAACCCCCCACCACAGCAACTACCACAATAACAATATCTACCACAAAATCCACCACCAGCATCAAACCCTAGGATAACAACCACAATTGCTATCACCATAACCTCTTTTGCAACAACTACCACCACCACCACAACTTATGAAGACCTATGTCAGGGGTCACTGTGTTGCTGTTTCATCACGAATAAACAAAAGCACAAAATAAACCTCAAAACAATATCCACCACCAACAATACGCCATCCACCACCAACAATACGCCATCCACCACCAACAATACGCCATCCACCACCAACAATACGCCATCCACCACCAACAACACCCATCCACCACCAACAATACGACCATCCACCACCAACAACACCCATCCACCACCAACAACACACCATCCACCACCTACAACACACCATCCACCAACAACAACACACCATCCACCACCAACAACACACCATCCACCACCAACAACACACCATCCACCCCCAACAATACCCATCCACCACCAACAACACACCATCCACCACCAACAACACCCATCCACCACCAACAACACACCATCCACCACCAACAACACACCATCCACCACACAACAACACACCATCCACCACCAACAATACGCCATCCACCACCAACAACACCCATCCACCACCAACAACACACCATCCACCACCAACAACACACCATCCCACCACCAACAACAACCCATCCACCACCAACAACACGCCATCCACCACCAACAACACACCATCCACCACCAACAAACCCATCCACCAACCAACAACACCATCCACCACCAACAACACACCATCCACCACCAACAACACACCATCCACCACCAACAACACACCATCCACCACCAACAACACACATCCACCACCAACAACACATCCATCCACCACCAACAACACACATCCACCACCAACAACACACCATCCACCACCAACAACACACCATCCACCACCAACAACACACCATCCACACACCAACAACACACCATCCACCACCAACAACACACCATCCACCACCAACAACACCCATCCACCACCAACAAACACCATCCACCACCAACAACACACCATCCACCACCAACAACACGCCATCCACCACCAACAACCGCATCCACACCAAACAACACACCATCCACCACCAACAAACACACCATCCACACCAACAACACACCATCCACCACCAGCAACACACCATCCACCACCAACAACACACCATCCACCACCAACAACACACCATCCACCACCAACACACACCATCCACCACCAACAACACACCATCCACCACCAACAACACACCATCCACCACCAACACACACATCCACCACCAACAAACACATCCACCACCAACAACACACCATCCACCACCAACAAACACGCCATCCCACCACAACAACACACCTCCACCACCACAAACACACCACCACCACCACAACACGCCATCCACCACCAACAACAGCCATCCACCACCAACAACACACATCCACCCCAACAACAACCATCCACCACCAACAACACACCATCCACCACCAAAACACACCATCCACCACCAACAACACAGCATCCACACCAACAACACACCATCCACCACCAAAAACAACACCATACTCACCATCAACAACACACCATCCACCACCAGACAACACACTCATCCATCCACCCAAACACACCATCCACCACCAACAACACATCATCCACCACCAACAACACACCATCCACCACCAACAACACACCATCCACACCAACACCACCATCCACCACCAACAACACACCATCCACCTACCAAACACCACCACCACCACCAACATCACACCATCCACCACCAACAACACACCATCCACCACCAACAACACACATCCACCACCAACAACACCCATCCACCACCAACAACACACCATCTCCACCACCAACAACACAACAATAAAAAGTTTCTTGATCTTCCTAAACAAACTTATGCAAGACAACGAACCTATGACAAATTGCAGAAATAATAATAATTTAAAAAATAATAAAATTTTCGGTTTAGAAACTGTCCAGCTGGGAAGGAAAACCAAAAAAAAAATTTAAAATGGGGATGAGAGTAGAAGGCACTGAATATCCACCATGGCCAGTAGGCCTACTAAAGTGGTCATTCATCTACACTCATCCCCATATGTCCATTCTTCCCTCGTGTCTTGCTTTGGGGACTTATTAATATTTTAACGCCATTGTCCACACAAGACAGGTGAGACCAAGACTCGCAACTGACGTCTTACAAGAAAATACAAATGACCTCAAAATTTTCAATTCCTAAATTCCACCACAATATTTCAGTTCCTGATCATTCCTCCATCAGTGTTTCAGATCCTGATAATTCCCCTATTAATTAATACAAAGAAGTATGAGCAAGTTAGTCTCGCAGTCCTTCAAGAAGGAGGAGGAGAGCTCTTGATGAGGGGTTATGGGCTCTTGATGAGGGGTTATGGGCTCTTGATGAGGGGTTATGGGATCTTGATGAGGGGTTATGGGATCTTGATGAGGGGTTATGGGCTCTTGATGAGGGGTTATGGGCTCTTGATGAGAGTTATGGGCTCTTGATACAGATAGTGGGATGAAATATAATTACATCCCACTCTTATTGAGATGTATGGTCCTTACGTACTTAGCGCTTCCCTATGAGCATTATTATTTTTCCAGCAAGGGACGCCAGGGTCGGACATCATCCATTCCCAAGATGGTCAGTTCTCTCGCACCTGTGGTGCATGTAATGACCTAGTTACCGGGACTCTTCTGCCTCCGTAATAGCTCTCCAAAACTTAAGTGTCATAGTTATTATTTACATCACAGTAACATCAGCTCAATGGTACCTCAACACAACATACACAGTAAATATTGGTACACGCGCCTCACACCTGCCTGCAACTCAGCCCGACTCTACACCAGGTGTTCTCGTGTGTATTACTGATATTACTGATGCTCTTGTGTGGAAATACGTAAATTATTATAATTTTAAATCAATATTTCTCTCTATGCTGCACTGAGTGGAAAAATAACTAAAATCTTCATATTATATGCATAGAGAATTTTATATTTTGCATTATTTTCACGTATTTTTTTTTTACATTATCATCCTCCCGTGTGTGTGTGTTTGTGTGTGAGTGTGTGTGTGTGTGTGTGTGTGTGTGTGTGTGTGTGTGTGTGGTGTGTGATGTGTGTGTGGTGTGTTGCCTTCCGTGTTTTCACATGTCGATGTGCTTGACATTATTTACATTGCAACAAAGTTTTATGTAAAACATAAACCAAACATTTTCACACATGACTCGAACAATTTATGAGAAAGGATAATTCGTTTTAATATCGTATTCAGAAGGTAGTGTTAATCTCCCCCGGGTCACACAGCTCCTGGGGAATTGGGGGGTTATCGGGTTTGATTTGAGGAAGCGGGAGAGTAGCTCCAGTTCCTAGAATCAAGAGTCGCCAGCATCAAGGTATATCGCTACTGGAAGAAAATGCCGCCTTTCTGTGGAGATATTGTATATAAACACACACAAAAAAGTTCAGCCCTCTCTCAGGCATAGGTGAAAAATAAGGAGAGGACAAGGTCCCTTACATTATTTTTCCGCTCTGGCCATACAATAGAGCGGAAAAATAATGTAAGGGACCTGGGAGTAGTAATGTCTAAGGATCTCACTTTCAAGGATCACAACAGTGCCACGATCGCACGTGCAAAGAAAATGATAGGATGGATAATGAGAACGTTCAAAACGAGAGATGCCAAGCCAATGATGATCCTTTTCAAATCACTTGTTCTCTCTAGGCTGGAATACTGCTGTACATTAACATCTCCATACAAAGCAGGTGAAATCGTAGATCTAGAGAGTGTACAGAGATCCTTTACTGCACGTATAAGTTCTGTCAAACACCTTAACTACTGGGAACGCTTGGAAGCACTTGACTTGTACTCGTTGGAACGCAGGAGGGAGAGATATATCATAATCTACACTTGGAAAATCTTGGAAGGAATGGTCCCAAATCTGCACACAGAAATCACTCCCTACGAAAGTAAAAGACTGGGCACGCGATGCAAAATGCCCTCAATAAAAGTAGGGGCGCCATTGGTACACTAAGGGAAAACACCATAAGTGTCCGGGGCCCAAGACTGTTCAAAAGCCTCCCATCAAGCATTAGGGGAATTACCAATAAACCCCTGGCTGCCTTCAAGAGAGAGCTGGACAGATACCTAAAGTCAGTGCCGGATCAGCCGGGCTGTGGTTCGTACGTTGGACTGCGTGCGGCCAGCAGTAACAGCCTAGTTGATCAAGCCCTGATCCATCGGGAGGCCTGGTCATGGACCGGGCCGCGGGGGCGTTGATTCCCGGAATAACCTCCAGGTAACCTTCAGGTATCCAGGTAACGACGTTTTGGGCCATCCTGGACCACTGTTAGGTTACAATGATGGTCCAGAACGACCGAAACGTCGTCATAAGGTTCCTCTCTCTTCAAATGATTTTATTTGGGGGAAAAGGTAAAAAGAACGTAATGATTGTAACGCAACACCTAACCAGTGTGATGATTGTAACATAACACCTCACCAGTGTGATGATTGTAACATAACACCTCACCAGTGTGATGACTGTAATGTAACATCTCACCAGTGTGATGATTGTAACATAACACCTCACCAGTGTGATGATTGTAACATAACACCTCACCAGTGTGATGATTGTAACATAACACCTCACCAGTGTGATGATTGTAACATAACACCTCACCAGTGTGATGATTGTAACATAACACCTCACCAGTGTGATGATTGTAACATAACACCTCACCAGTGTGATGATTGTAACATAACACCTCACCAGTGTGATGACTGTAATGTAACATTATCACCTGCTCATCATTGTGCTGATTGTAACTTAACATTATCACCTGGTCACCAGTGTTAAGTGCTCCAGGAAGGGGGGTAGGAGAGGTATACTCAATTAACACGTGCCACTTATCTCTCGCAGGAAGGTGAGAATGCTAGTTCGTCTCCACCTTTTGCTGGTTCTTGAGATACATCAACTACACAAAACAGGACCTTACACGGATGATTCGTACATAGGAGAGGAGCTTACGACGACGTTTCGGTCTGACTTGGATCGTTTACAAAGTCACATAAACATAAAAGTGAGAGGGAGCCAGTATTTTAAGGTGAGGGGAAAAGGGACGGGACCAAGAGAGGAAGAAAAGGTAGAGATAAGGCTGGTAGTAGCAGTAGTAAAAGTAATAGTGGTTGCAGACTTGTTACAGTTATACCTACGACCTTCTCCTGGGTATCAGTAGGAGCTTCACAAACAACTCTCTTTTAGAGCAAATAATTTCTACCACTTCCCTCTCGACTATGGCTACTGTAAAAAAAACTTTATAACTTCTTGGATGTAATAAGAACGAATCTTGCAAATAACATTGCTGCATTTATATTCTATTTAAAATAATTTACAATAGTTTAAAAATACATTCGATTTTGTGATTTTTTTAATCATTTTTTTTTTCAATAAATTGGCACATTGGCATCGCCTACTCAACCCAAATTCAATACGGGGAAGTTTTAGAAGCTTTTTTACATGGCCAACATTTACACTTTTTCACTGACTAGGGTTATTGGACCTACTGTGATAGATTTTTTTCTGAGTACTTCCTTGTTAGTGTGAATGGCTGGCATTTTTTGATAAGTAAATCTTGCAAACTTCTTCGTGCATTCAGTACACACTATTCTTTACTCTGTCTTTAAACAGCTCTTATACCTGTAATATTTCCTTTCCAACAGTGCGGAAGACTGAGACATCGAGGTGAATGAAGATCGACATATCGAAGTAGACTAGAGACTGGCACTTCGAAGTGGGGTGTAGATAGTAACACTGAAGCGGATTGTATATGGGGACATCGAAGTGTATGGAGATCGAAATATCGAAGTAAATTAGAGACTGGCACTTCGAAGTGGATGGAAGATCAGGACACCGAAGTGAACGAGAACTTTTATGATTCAAAACATAACACTACGCAAAGGAAGTACACACACGCGGTCACGCGTATTCACGCACGTTTGCGTTACATAAAAGTCCATTAGCGGTGCATTAATACCAAACTGCAGCACATCAGTGTCAAGTTGCGGTACATCAATGACAAGATCATATATACACTGGCAATCACTTGTCAACATCTGCCGGGCCGGCTTGAGCGTACACCCCCACGAGTGTTTAACTTCTGCAGTCTGTACACAACATTCCTTCTTCAACCGCAGACTCAGTACCGTTCTTCCGTTGCTACCATTGTTACTTAACGCAGGAGCTGTCGCTACTGTTATTTAACTCAGGAACCGTCGTTACCGTTGTTACTTAACACAGGAGCTGTCATTACTGTTGCTTTGATCCAGGAGCTCTCCCTGCTGTTGATCGTTAACTGTGTTGTGAACGTTACAGCCGATTCATGGTAGCTGCAACACATCAAACCAATGTAGGATAGTAGTTGTGTAGGATGGCAAGTGTTGTGTAGGATGGCAGGCGTTGTGTAGGATGGCAGGCGTTGTGTAGGATGGCAGGTGTTGTGTAGGACGGCAGGTGTTGTGTAGGATGGCAGGCGTTGTGTAGGATTGCAAGTGTTGTGTAGGATGGCAGATGCTGTGTAGGATGACAGATGTTGTGTAGAATGACAGGTGTTGTGTAGGATGGCAGATGTTGTGTAGGATGGCAGATGTTGTGTAGGATGGCAGGTGTTGTGTGCAATGACAGGTGTTGCATAGGATGACAGGTGTTGTGTAGGATGACAGGTGTTGTATAGGATGGCAGGTGTTGTATAGGATGGCAGGTGTTGTGTAGGATGACAGGTGTTGTGTAGGATGACAGGTATTGTGTAGGATGGCAGTCGACCCACTCTCACTTAAGCCAGTCGACCCACTCTCATCCAAGCCA